GCCACAAATAGTTGGTCACAGAAACTTCGTCTAGGTTCAACGTAAGCGTAGCCTCAGCGTAAGCCTAAGCGTTCGCGAACGAAGTTTGTGTGACCGACTATTTGTGGCGAAACGTCGTGCTGACAGATGTCGCTTGGTCAATTGTCGTGTTCCCCCGAATTTTCATCTGAGGCGGGTAGAAGGGCGTCGTCGCTCTTCGCCACAAAAACGCGTATGAACGCTGTTTTTCGTATTCAATTGTGCGGGCAGGTTTATACTCATGGCTGATTTTGCACTCATTTTGGAAAAGTGTGAATTTGACATGGATGATTTTTTGACATGAAAGGAGAACTAAGAGTAGTCTCAAGTGGATCAGATATGCGCTGATCAACTTTAGCTAGCGTTAAACCATGCTAATGACGATGCACCTATATCTCTGTTCGCAATCGATTTTCTTTGCCTTTAAACGAATGTAAATTTGCGTTTAACGTTTTGAAAATCCATTGCAGTTATTTCCGATTTCTAATTTTCTTATAACGTTTTCGTTAAAAATTCGTGTTAGCCCCACGCAATATCAAAAATTATTCTGTCGTTTTTTAGATTTATTTATCGCTAGAGTAAAGCTCGTCGCTTTGACGTTCGAGCACAATTCCCGTCAAAATTTCGTCCTCAAAATCTGGAGTGCGCAAAAGGTTTTTTTTTGGTCTCTTTGATTTGACTTGTGTTATTTGACTATGCGTCAATACTGAGCAATAATATCGATTGTAGAAGTAAAAGTAATAACAATAAGAATTGTAATACGAGTAATGAAGATGATAGCGCGAGGAATTGTGGTAACAATGGCGGTAATAGTTTCAGATTTAATTTTCTTGTTTGATTTCGTTTAGAATTTTTCAATAATTCATTTCAGCGCAACCAAGCGCAGGAGAGAAGAAGATGATTCGACATCGATACATGATGAAGAAGACAGCCGCAGTGGCCTCACAATGGTCTCGATTCCAAAAGGTTATTTAATTTTTACCACTTTTTCTTCTTACTTTTCTATTCTGTGAAATTTCAATTAAACTGTTGCAGGAAAAGAGAAAGATGCCGAATATACAGCACCAAAATCGCAGAAATTAACCGATCTGGATGAGGAAGCGCCTAAGGAAGTTCCAGCTTCTGAGGTACATATCAGTATCATTTGAACCGTTAAATAATATCGATGCGAATATTGGATTGTTGTTTACGATTGCGTGCAACTACACAAGTCCATAACAATGCTCCATATTGACCTGTCGTTATTTGCAACGTAACATTTCAGGAAGGGAATGTAATCGAGCAAACGCATTACATCATAATTCCGTCCTATTCATCATGGTTCGACTACAATGCGATACATCAGATCGAGAAGAGAGGACTGCCAGAATTCTTTAACGGACGCAATAAAAGCAAAACACCTGAAGTGTTAGTGTTTCGGTCCATTGCAAGAAATTTCATTGGGTTCATTTTTGTTGTTGTTCATCTGTGTGACATGTATCATCTCTTTCAGGTATTTGGCCTATCGTAACTTTATGATCGATACGTACCGATTGAATCCTTTCGAATATCTTTCATCAACGGCATGTCGTAGAAATCTTGGAGGAGACGTTTGCGCCATTTTGAGGTTTTGCGTTGGCTTCATCTTTTGCAGATTCACTTTGCCATTCCAGGAGCACGAATGTCGTTCAGCAGCAGTACTCTTTAAAAGCTCGGCCGTACGAATCGGGTTCGAAGGCCGACGTTTTGAGGGCTATTCAAACAGTTTCAAAGTTTATTCAGAGTTCATTGAAAGAAAATTTCATTTCATGTTTCTTGAGAAAACTTCGGTTTCAGTCCGGAGAAAGCGTCGCTCAGAATGAGTTTAAGCTTAAGGCGAGCATAAACCTCAACCTAATGTAAGTCTGGAGTAAGCCTCAGCCTTGTGAAAATAACAATTATTGATATTGCGAACTACCTGGAAGAGCCTTCAAAAAGTCGGCTATACAAGTCGGATTCATAAGACCAATTTGCAACAGTTGGTGTGTATTTTTGCTCGTTCATTCCAATAAGGTTTCTTTCCAGAGTGCATTCATTCTTGGAGCAATGGGGCTTGATAAATTATCAAGTTGATGCGGACGCTAGGCCGGCTCCCGTAGCCCCGCCGTGCACATCGCATTTCATGGTTCTTGCGGATACGCCTATTGGACTACAGCCAGTTCAACCCCCTCTGCTATCATCGCAGGTGTGTTTAAATTTTATTTATCGGAACGACGATCATTTGATTAGAAATGCATCGGGCTATGATGGTGCAGTGGTAGTGTGTTATGTGAACAAGTAAAGTGTTGATGGTTCGTTGACGGGTGGGTTATGGTATTTGGGAGATTGCATTGAGCTCGATGATGATAGAAACGCGGTCTGTGCTGATTGAAGCAATGATCGAAGCAAACGTTGTTCGTACGATCGCTGAGAGCAGCCTTTTATTGTACTGAGAGACGGAGTTTCGATTAAATCATTTTAGAATTGATGGGATGTTTTGTGTTTGTGTTGCAGCCAGATGAAACGAAAAAACTGAAAGAAGAAGAGCCGTCGGCGGGGAAGGAGGAAGGTGGAGGTGAGCAGACCAAGACGACGACGACAACAAAAGTGGAAAAATTGGGCGATGCAGGACTTAAGATGGATCAGTACGCGAAGCAGTTGTCTGCCATGAAGGTTTCTTATCGATTGATTGGTTTGTTGTGGTGTTTACTGAACTGATTAGTGTGATTGTGAGATGAACGCAATTCTGCATTACTTCTTTCGTGCGTTACCATTTTTGAATAAGTGTTCATTTTTATTTTTAGACACGTGGTGCAGCACCCGGTCGAGATTGGACCGATCAGGAGACATTGCTGTTGTTGGAAGCACTCGAAATGTTCAAGGATGACTGGAATAAGGTTAGGACACTCACTTAAGTTGCATTGCAAGTAAATTCATAATTTCACTTTTGTTTTCTTCAGATTAGAAGCGGGAATTTGAATTTGCTTCATTGGTTCGTCGATAGATAAGAATGAAGTTGCTTGATAATTAATGAAGGAGGAATTTGTTTGATTTTGAAGTCAGTCTGATTTGATATTAAGGTGGCTGATCACGTTGGATCACGTACGCAAGATGAGTGCATCATGCGATTCCTACAGTTACCCATCCAGGATCCGTATTTGGAAGAAGGTGGTGCAGAGGCTGAAATACTTGGTATGTCATTTGATTTAACTTTGTGGTTGAGGTGCGGTCGTTACTGTTGCGTTCCGTTACACTTCTTTGGGCTACTGTCAGAAACGAAGCGCTTCTCGGTTTGTGACTAATGATTCAGCATGCGAGAATGTGTATTCAGTAAAAGAATGCACGCATGTCAATCGTTCACTCGTCACCACCCCCCATCTCGCCTCTGCCGCCCCTAAAAACAGTTCCAGCCACGCAAATTTTCGTATGATTTACCTCTTACATTAACTGTTTTGCTTGAGTTTCGCCATCTTACATCATATTCACGTCGCATCGTTATCAATCCCTAAGAACTTGAAGAAAAAATGGATTATGCATGGAATATAAGCCAAGTTTTTCATAACAACTTAGAGATGGCCGTAGAAAGTGCTTGATGAATGCGCTAGAAGATATTCATTTTGCACTTGAATTGAACATTGCGTGAGTAATGCAGCGCGTGTAGTCGTCTTTTTGAGTTGATAAGAGTGGTTTATTATCGTCGAATTGAACGACTGAAGTCAATTGATGATTTGTTACAATAACGCTTTTTTGATTTCAATTCTGGTTATTAGCACGACGGGCAGGGCCGAGGGAGACGAGCGCCTGCCTGCTATTCCTGAAGCGATGGAAGCTGGAAGGAAAAAATAGCCGTAGAAAAATTCACTGCAAAATTTAACTGCAGTCTCCCTTTGCGTATCCTATCGTGATGCCTTCGATTCGATTACGCTTATTTTGACTGCCGTAAGTAGTGTGACGATAGTGCAATTGAATGTCAGATGACATTTGTTAATTGAGGAATAACAATGATGAAAGATCAATCAAATAAATTTCGAGCGTTCAGGTCCTCTCTCATATCAGCCAATTCCGTTCAGTCAAAGCGGTAATCCGGTGATGTCAACGGTTGCATTCCTGGCCTCGGTTGTTGATCCGCGCGTTGCTGCAAGCGCCACGAAAGCAGCTATAGGTTTGTTTTGTTCATCAGTATTCAATTCTTATTTATTATCTGCAGAATTTTCATTTGATATTCGAAGAAAAAGTTTATTACTTTTACGAGCCGTTCGAGAATCTGAAATTCATTATGAATGAATATTTTCCAATTTTATTTTTGCAGAAGAATTCGCCAGAATGAAGGAAGAAGTACCACCGCTCGTGGTTGAGGCACATACGCGTAACGTTGAGGCAGCAAGCGAATCAAAGAGTAGTGCGGAAGCGAATGTTGGTTTGAGTGTATCCGGTATTGCGACTGACGACAAAGGTTGGTGACTGTCGCACTCGATATGAACCCCGTGATACTGTGTTTTTAGAGAAGGGTAAAGTGGTTGAGGAAAAGAAAGAAGCGCAAGATGAAGTGATGGATAGCACTGAGAGTGCTGCTGATACGAAAGGTGGAGCTGAGTCGGCAGCGAGCACTACAGAGAAACCTGACGAGAGCGGCACTGAGAAGGAGAAAGCGCGATCGGCAATCAGCGAAAGCATTCAGTCTGCTGCGGCAGCCGCATTAGCTGCGGCTGCGGTTAAAGCGAAGGTATTAACGTTTTTTGGTGTGGTGGATGTGTTATATTTTAGAATCGATTTGAGTTATTTCATGAATCGATTTGGTTTTTATTTCCTTTTTTGTTGATTTCTTCAGGGATACACATTTGTCACTGTTTTGTTTCGTTTCGCGATTTTATCTCTTGTTTTCGTCTTCGGAAGAGTTTTTGTGGATGTGTTTTGATTTGTGTCACAAAATGTGAACAGTGTAAATGAATTTCATCTTGTTTCAATGATGATCTTATTGCATTCAGCATTNTCAGGGATACACATTTGTCACTGTTTTGTTTCGTTTCGCGATTTTATCTCTTGTTTTCGTCTTCAGAAGAGTTTTTGTGGATGTGTTTTGGTTTGTGTCACAAAATGTGAACAGTGTAAATGAATTTCATCTTGTTTCAATGATGATCTTATTGCATTCAGCATTTGGCAACAATCGAAGAACGACGAATCAAATCGTTGGTCGCACAACTAGTGGAAACACAAATGAAGAAATTGGAAATGAAGTTGAGACACTTTGACGAGTTGGAGGCGATCATGGATAAGGAACGAGAAGCGGTTCGTTTCATTCTTCTGGAGACAAAATTTCAATTTTTATGTCATGCTATAATCAGTTTGTTGAGCATTCCAGTTAGAATATCAACGACAACAACTCATCCTAGAAAGACAATCGTTCCATATGGATCAGCTGCGCTATTTGGAGCAACGAGCCAAACATGAGGCACACTCGAAACTGGTTACTTCAGGTGTGTGCACAGTAATTTGATTTTATGGGTGAGATCAAACGAAGCTCTCGTTTTCAGTTCGGATCGAAGAACGATTTCCGATTTCAGGTCAGTTACCTCCAACCCTACCACCAGGTTTCGAATTGACAGGACCACCTCAACCACAGCAGCAAGTTCAACTTGCCGTTCCACCAACGTCTCTCTCCTCAGGAGTACAACAGACCGTAACTACCGCAACCTCAGGTGCTCCTCCATCAAGCACAACTGTGCCTGGAAATGCGGCCGCAGGCAGCGCTGCTACGCCAGTTAATCAGTCTCAACAACCATCCACTGGCGTTGAGACGGGTTTGTTTGTGCATTTTCGTTTGGCGATCATCGTTTTTGATCATATAATCATTGAGTTCTGGCCATTGGTTTGACCAAAGACTAGTCTTACGAGCGAACATCACAATTATAGTTGGAAGCACGAGTGTTGTTCCCGGTGCACCTCTGCAGCAAGCGACATCATCTCAGATGACTGTACAACAGCAGCAACAACCTCAACCGCAGCAGATGCCACCTGTGCAGACATCGATTCCCGTACAACCCACCGCACCACCTCCCGTTGCTGTAGCGTTACCACCCGTCCCACCACCGCAGCAACCTGCACAAGCACCTGTTCCTCAACCGCCTGCACAACAGCAGCAAGCACCAGTCCCCCAGCCCCCTCCACAACAGCAACAAGCCCCACCACCGCAACAACCCCCGCCTCAGCCCTACCCTCCACAACCGCAACAAGCGCCCCCTCCACAGCCGTACCCTCCCCAGCCCGTTTATGCCCAACAGCAACAACAACAACAACAGCAGTACGTTCAATACACGCAAAGCGCTACACCGCAACAGTATGCACAGAGTAAGTTTATTGTCTATTATATATGATATAGTGATGATGATGCATAATATGAAGTGCAAATTTGAGCATACCAAGGAGGTCCAGCACAGGCCTATTATGGACAGCCGGGTGCTAGGCCACCATATCCACAACAATACGCGCAAAGACCACCATACCAACAACCTATGCAGGTATGTTGTTGCTTGTTGCTAGTAAATTGATTCTGTGTATAACAGAAATAAATCTTTATGTATGTAACAAACGTTTGCATCTAGATTCGAATGTTTTACGAGCGTTTCGAGGTTAAGTCTCGTTAATGTTGCGTATGACATAGTATTGATCCATCCGATCGTTTCAGTCGTATGGTCAGCCGGTACGAGCTGCAGGCTTTCCACCAGGCGCTGGAGGCGCCCCGCCGGGACAACCATACGGATACCCGCAAGGTTATCCTCCTCAAGGAGCGCAGGTAATTTGACACAAAAATCAGTTTTTTGTAACACTTAAAGCAAAAGTTGTGTGTGAGTTTTTTTTGTGTTGCATGGAATGAATATGAGATTTTTTCAGTACGGAGTAGCACCGGGTGGCTATGCTCCACATCCGCAACAACAAGCGCCACCTCCACAACCACAGCAAGCCCCTCCACCGACGTCGATGCCACAGTCAATGGATTCGTCAGATGCGGCAACACCGCCGATGCATCAAGGAACACCATCTGTACAGCAGTGACTGAATCTGATTGAATCGCACCATATTGTATATTGACTGATTCGGTGTGACCTCTGAAGTGTTGTTTATGATTTGTGTCTGTGTATGACTGTGTTATCGTGAACATTCTACAGAAACTATCGCATACTTTGGATCAGGCAGAAGTTTAAATAAGTGAAGAAGAATTCGTTTATGGTATCTTTCAATGAAGAGATGATGAGAACGATAGATTGGACTGATCGGATTTTGTTGTCAATTGCACAGTTGTTTACAAGTCGATCGATTGATTGATTGAANACTATCGCATACTTTGGATCAGGCAGAAGTTTAAATAAGTGAAGAAGAATTCGTTTATGGTATCTTTCAATGAAGAGATGATGAGAACGATTAGTGAGGAAGATTGGACTGATCGGATTTTGTTGTCAATTGCACAGTTGTTTACAAATCGATCGATTGATTGATTGAATTGATATTTATTTATGAATTCATTCGTTTCGTCTGAAATTGTTTTGTATGAGTTATTGTTGTGTTGGTGGATAATTGGTATTTCGATAGTTTGGAGGGATGTCATATGTTCGTTGTATTTGTCATCTATTCAATACAATGCGCCGTTTTTATCTAAATTCATTTCGTAACTCACGTCAATGTGGCTGAATGATTTGATGAATGTAGGTACTCGGAAAGTTATTCGACAGTTCAACGTTCGAAATTCATTGATTCTTGGCGTTTTAATTGAAAATGGGAATTTTAATACTTTTTTAAGTTTGCGGTTCTCGTTCTATTGGTAGACTCGTCCTAAATGAGTAATCATTCAGTTTTTTATAGGTGAATTTTCAAATATTTTGAATCAGTGTTTTTCCGTAAATGCAAGGAAAATGGAATTAAAAATTCGGAAATTTGTTCATTACACAATTTCGCAAAATTGATTACATGTTGATTGTTGAATGTAGATTTTGATTTGTTGATATATTCATAGCGATAATCTGATTTGATTGTTCGAATGCTTCATTCCAATTCTCATTTCTTGTATCGCTTTGATAGCGAGTTCAGTTCGTTTGATTGTTTGGTAATCCGTATTGGTTACGTTCTCATTTATCATCCATCTCATTATTATTATTATTATTAATGTTATCTTTATTGTTATTATTTATGTTGCCGTCTTTACTGTTTACAATTTTATCATCGTTAATCAATTTCCTGACGTCCAATTTCTTGGAGCAAGAATGAATGTCAATTTTCAGTGGTGAACTGTAAAACTGACCAATAATTATTGTGTGCATGCGTTTTCATCTGTCTATTTGTTTGAACTGAGATGGATTCGACTATTCCTAGCATTTCTACCTCATATGAATTTCCCTCAGATTTCAACTTTTCTATGAATTATTACGTGAATTCTTTCAGTCTAATCTGGAGTTCCAAATTACCGTATGAAAAATTTTCGGAAAGTTCAGTGCGATTATGATTAAGTAAGGTACTCAAACTCTGGTTTTGGGACGCAAAATGAAATTATAGTAGCAATCGTGAAATGTCATCAATAAACGAGAGAGATGGGACCGAATCGCTGAAATCGATAAATATTTTGGAAGGAAGTGGTAATGGTACAGATAGTATGTTGGAGGATATTTTATTGAATTATGCGAATGAAGGTAATAGTAATGAAGAAGAGGGAAATGGTGATGATGAAGAGGCTGTTACTCCGGCCGAGGTACTCGCCGAGTTGACGATTGCCTGGCAGAACGAACTGTGTGCACCGGCGCTGTTACCGCATAGGTAGACGTTTGTTTTGTTCAATTGCTTACTATGTAGCCTCGAATATACTCACATGCCAAGGGTGTGTATTCGAAGGTGGCACGGGCGTTGGAATGCGCAACTTTAAGGCTAATGAAAGTTGAAAACATTTAAGGGCGGATACAGAATTGAGACGAGGTGTATTTTAAACACTTATTTGTCCGTTCTATTGCTGGGTGTAACGAAGTTGATTGAATTTGACTTGATTGCTTTAGTTCAGATTGGATTTAATTGGAGCAATGGTATTATCAACGGAAGGTATGGAAGAGAACATAAATGATTCCAGAAACGAGGATCCTCTAAAAATTTGTGTTCATAAAATGGAAATTCATCGAATTGCCTATATAATTAATGATTATTTACGGAAGAGATTAGAAAAGGTGTGATTATTGTGTTACTTTCAATGAGTTGAATCAAGCTTGAGTGTTCAAGTAAATGTGTTTTAGATTGAAAAGAATGCTATTCGTTGTTTGCAAGAAGATACACGAAAAAGAATTAACGATCGTGAAGAATTGTTGAGCGATGAGGAGAGAAAATTCGCTGAGAAGTAAGTTGAAACCATTTTTTCACACTTGCGATTAGCAATCAACGAGAAAGTGTAAACGGAGTTTGTTGTTGCAAATGAATTCGTGCGAACAACGAAATAGTTTTCCCTGGTGGCTTAGTGAACTGTACATAATTTAAGGTATATACAATCAACATCACAACTTTTGATGAACTGTGTTTTGGGTCGCCTTCCTGAGCCTCTCCAACAGATACCGAATCCTGAACGCGATCTGTCCGGTGATCGTGTATTTGTTCGAGTCCTAGAAGATGATCTCGAGGATGTGACTATTCCGGATAAAGCCGATCCTAATTCCGAATCTGTGAATCAGTTGGATAAAGATTCCATTTATATTGTGCCATATGAGAGCATTGCTTCGCATCTCGCAAATGACAAAGTTCGCTTATTATGAGTGTCTTGTTTGTGTTTTAGATTGAGTGTTTTTTACACACCCTTGCTATGTGTATGCGTGCAGATATGAGATAATGCCTGAATCAGTCGTTATTCATTGCATAATATCCTGCTTTTTGGTGTCTCCATTCAGTTTTACTGTTGATTTATCTTCATTATCGTCCATTTTATAAACTTTTGATGTTCTGTTCTAATTTCGGCGTTGTCTGAACATCACTTTTGTTTATGTTTATCATTTTGTTTTTGTCTTAACTTCATTGTTGATTTCTGCTGTCTTCATTAAAACTGTATTAATGGAAGATTAAATTGAATCATTGTTATTGTTCGGACTGAAAGCGGTCGGTTTGCCGATCGCTCTGGG